TTTTTAACCTCCTGTCTGCTAGTCAGGGAAACATTTTTTGGTGGGTTGATTTCCAAACAAAACTTTCTGATAGTGTCTTTTTTTAAATTCTGGAAAGATATTTTAATTCCCTGTAATATTTGGGATCTGAATCACCAAACAGCATGGCCAAATTTACATTAGTTTCTAGACTATGAAGGAGTATAGCCTATACCTCCCCTCCCCCAACCAATACACAAAACATTGACTACAGTACAAGATCTGACTCTTTAGCTCTAATAAAGTTTTCATTAGTTATGTAGATAGAGATCATCATCTGTTGAGAAATTCTTTGAGTTATGTACAAAATGTTTTAATATTACTGAGTTTCATAGTTTTTTTGTAACAATGCATACACCACCACCATGGGCAGTCATCATTGTTTTTGTTGTAATGGTTTCTGCTTGGAATTGCATACAAATACATGTCAAGTCAGATTTTGAGAGCTACTCTGGTGTATGAAGTATGAGATAGCAGTAGTAGTAAGAACAGTAGTTGTAAAAAAGCAGCATGAGTAGCAAAATTAGCAGGAGCAGTACTGAGAATAATAGAAGTTGCATAAAAGTAGTAGAAGTAGAAGAGCCAGGACAGCATTGCTGGCAGGACACAAAGAATATTGACCAATCAGTGGTTTTATCTCTGTTTTATATGAATTAGGATCTAATAATCATAAACACTTTTTATTTGACCAATCATGGTATACCAACATGAAAACTTCTACTTTTCTGCAAGAGGAACATGGCCTGGGCAACCCCCTAAACTGAGCCTCTTCCTGGCCAAACACTTTTAGCAAATTCTACTGGCAGAAAAGTGTGATTTTTTTTAAGTTCACAGATTGAGCCCTTTACTAGAGTACGTTTTATTGGTTTCAACTTGAATACCAAAAAACCAGACCTTTCTGTAGCCCACCTGATATCCAAAATTTGGTTTCATTTACTCGCAGACGGTGTTAAATGAACAACTTACCTCATCTCAATAAGAGTTGGAGAAATAATAGTTAATCAGACAGTATGCATAGTGATTAGATTTAAGAAAATAAAAGGCTGCTGTTCATGGATCTAGTCAAACCAGAGTAGCTACGTTATTACTTAAATTAATTATATTGACAGGGGAATAAATAGTGAAATCTGTTGATGATAGTAAACCCTTAGGTATTACTAGCTGTACTGAAGTTGTAGAAATTTACAGGATGACTTGGATCAAGTGGAAAGATGGACAAATACTTCACAATGATATTTAAATTTAATAAGTGCAAGGTAATGTACTGGAGTTATAACTGAGATGACTTGTTTAACTACATCAAGTCTTTATTCTCCAAAAAGGTGTTATGTTTTCCAAGTCAAATACCTCTTTCTTTGGGAGGTTATTTGTCTAGGTAAGCAAATCATACAACATCTACTAAGATATATATATATATATATATCCTGTGTTGTGGTATTTGGTGGCTCCAAACTCAGTTTGGTCAATGGACAAAAGAATAATTTTCAGTAAATTTTGTACTACAATATACTATATACATAACAGAGATAACCCCATGCTTTAAAAAAGCACTATGAAAATTTTATGAAAAGACAAAATTCTTGTGACTTATGTAAGCAATAGTATTTATCCAAAATCTATTGTGAAATGAAGGAGTTAATATAGATGAGATCCCACTCAATAATGTGACTAAAGAAAAGAATCTTGGCACAATGGAGGAAAAATAAATCAAGCCATCATCACAGTAAATTAATAGAATTTTACGATGCACTTATGGGCATATTGGTTACAAGTTAAAATCAGTAATGATCTTTTAATACAAATCACTAGTTAGGCCTCACTTGAAAAACTACATGCAGTTTTTGTCTCCTTAGCCAAGTAAGGATAGAAGGGTTATCTTATAAGGACAGGTTATTAAAGGTGATGTTAACTATGTTACTGATATTTACAAGCTTATCTAAGGGATCAACAGGAAAAATTCTTCTGATTTCTATGTTGTATTCTGAAGACAACAGGACAAGAGGATACAAGATTTGGAAAAACAAGTGAAGCTCTAGTTAAGACAGTTTTATTTTTCTAACTGTTTGAATGGGTTGCCAAGGGCAGCACTTTACAATTGTTTTATAAATAGATTCAATGAGTTTCTAAAACATAAAAGGTGTTTAGATTTTGAATTTTCTCAAGGGTGGGAGTGCAAGGACATCCTTGAAAATACAAACGATCCCTTGTTGTTCATATGTTATATTATAATGTGAGATTATAAAAACAGTAATATGTAATATCACTGTTAGATATAAAGCATATACAAGACAAGGAACTGTCTGCAAACCACAACCAAATGACTACAACAACAACAAAAAAAACTAAAAATACTTTGATTAAAAATGTGAGGAACAATAAAACACACGTTTCAGATTTTTTATATTAGGGGTAAATTGGATACTAGATATCACCTGCTCCCGCCAAAAGATTTCCTCATGCCACTACTCCAGCCAATAGGATTTCTCCTGCCACTGTGACTGATAATTCTTATTTTTACATCATTAATTTCTATCATAAATGTGCTAATATCACAGTCTGATGAGTGGCTATGACACAACATAAAAATATATATTGAAAATAAAAGGATCCACTTGATCTGTCTGGGATATCTGTGCAGATCCACCCCTGAGAAAAGTAAAAACTTTAACTAAGCCTAAATTTTTTAAGAAAATCATCAAATCTCCTATTAAGCTTTATATCATAAATCAGTCATCCTGTTAGATAAATAAAACTGACTTAATCGGTGTCCTCTCATCCTATTAAAAGTTAAGCCTTTGATGAAGTGCCTCACAAGAAAGTGGAAGGGAAAATCACAACTTTGGGGGTTGAGGAAACACTAGGAAAATGCATTCTGGAATATTTGGATGAAATCCAAGGCAGGTGTTATTACTGATCAAGTCTAATCAGGCTGCTTGTGGGGTGATTAAGAGGTCAGTGCTTTGGCCTTTGCTTTATCTGATTTACATTAATGGTAATTGAAAGGGAATATTGATAAAGTAGTAAAGTTTGTGAATGACGTTGAACTCTTGGATATTTCTGGATGTAATGAGAATGCAAAGGCACTACAGTATGACTTGGACAACATAGCATAAATTTGAAGGAGAACCAGACAGCTGTTTACCCATCTAGGTTGTCCCATCCACTAAAGTTAAAAAAGTCATCTGTAATCATTTATATAATTATCTAGCCTTCCCTTAGACTCACATAACTTTTCTGTAGCCAGTAAATCTGAATGCAGCCCATTCCAAGGTCCAACCCCTTCAAGTTAAGTAAGAGAGAGGATAACACAAAGCCAAAATGTGTTTCACAATCTAGGCATGAGACAATCTAGGTGGTCATCTTATATCATTCTATGGTTTGACTAAAAACTAAACATTGGATTTGGCTGTACTATCACTAATGTCCTGCTACTTGACTCTACACCTGACCAGTAACATGTATAAATTTATCTCAGATGCAAGCTCCTCTAATGTTACACTGTTCAAGCCATTTAGTGATTTCTCATAGGTCACAAGGAGTTTATATGATCATGGGAATTTTTGCTTATACATGGTACTGCTGATAATATGTTGTTCAACAAACATTAAATCTACAATAATATTCTAAGCTTACAACTACTGTTTGTATTCACCATACTCCTAATACTTCTTTGATGTTACTTTCATTAATGGTATTTATAATAATATTTAATAAATCTACTTTTATTACTTTTTATTATTATACTTTCCTTATAAGAACTTCTGAGTGAAAGATCATAGAAATTGTTTTGCATTTTTAGCTTTCATGTATACACATTTGGGACCAATCTAAATATTTTAAGCTGGTGGAGTCCTGCAAGATGTTATTGGGTTTACAATTGATGTAGCAATGTATTTTAGTCTTTATAACTAAAACAGTAAGAGAAGTATACTTTGTTAGCTATATTCATTGCCAGGTTGATGTTTAGTTTCGATTTGAGTAAGTAGCTTGTTCTGATCAAAGCTAATATAAATTATTTTAAGTTAAACTTTAAAGATATAGGGGTGTAGAAATTTTTGAAAAAAAAAATGCATTATTGTCCAAGGAACAAAATGGTTGCCTCTCCCCATTCTATAAAATGCATAAAAAGTAGCATATAACTACTTTCATATAGCTTACTTTCAAAATTCTGTATATTCAATTTTGACATCTCAAGAAAATAAGTTTTGTATTTTTTTTCTACAACTTTCACAAAAATGCTATGAAACCAAAGTGGGCTACTTGTTAAGTAAAACTGCTACAAAGTATTACAGAAAAACCAAACATTATTAGTTTTTCAAATCTTAAAAACTATATTTTATTTTTATACAAAATAAATTATATTCATAGGCCTTTTTTATCAATGCTCAATTTTGCCAGAAATTGCATCATGTATTTTATAGTTTTAACAGTTACTGACTTGGTAATTAAAATGTTATTTTACAACACATGTAGAATGCTACCACAAACTAAATTACTTTTTACACATATATGTAACAATAAAATTTTCTGTAATTTTTATAATGTTATATATTCTTCCTAATCTTAGAACTAACAATCAAAAGTTTATTAGCTTCTACTGTAGACAACTTCACGTTTCAACTAACAAGCAATGTGAATTGTAAATTACAATGTTATACTAATAATATCGCGCATTAATTTAAGTATGTTTATTTAATCATTACTATTTACTGTGTGTACGTGACCAGGGGTTTATCATTATGAATTAATGTGTTATTTATATTGGTAATTTTGTATACAAAGTATACATTTCAGCCTCAGGTTTACTTTAGTTCAACTTAAACTGAAAAGACGCTTTTATAAATGTCCGTATATGTGCTAGACTTCCATGAATCAGAATTTTCAGAAACTTGTATGGCTCTATACTGTAGAAAAAATATAATTTAGAGTTAATATTCATATCATACTGATACTATACATACTAACAGTAACATAATGCTTACCATTTTCTTCTTCTTTTTTATCTTTTTTTAAACCATACATGACGTAGTTCTTTCCAAGTTGCAGAATATGGATATAGTTAAAAAGGACTGTTAAAACACGTATACGAAGAAAAAATCTATTTTGCTTTTCAGTTTTATATTCAAATCAGGAATGTAATGCCCAAGTCATCTGCTTTCGCTTTGCTAAGCCTATAATAAGCTAAACTACATTTCACAGCGCCACGGCACCCACAATTTAATATCACAAAATACAGAAGATAAAACTCTCGTTATCAGATTTCATGCGGTTTGTCCATTTCATGCATTTTGGAATTATATGTGAAACATATTTAAGAAAAAAGATATCGACTGATAATATTGTATTGTATAGCAACACGTATTTGTTTTAAATAACATAGTATTGCTTTCATTTTAAATATTTGCTAATTAATATTGCAATTTGTTACAATCCGTAAGTATGAAAGAGTTTCTGCTAAATGTATATATTTTCTTGCACGTTCTGAGTTAGCGATTTCTATTACATTTTCAACTTTGGTTTTGTTAATCGTTTATGTAATTTTTCTTTTACTGTTTAATTTAGCTAAATGGGAATTTGCCATAAAAACACTAGCTTAACTGCCTCCTAGTGTATGTAACATTTTTGAATGACTCATTAATATGGTAAGAAACCGACAAGATGTTCCATTACCGGTAACATTAGTAGGGTTGTGATATATATTCTTGTAATCTGTCAATGAAATTAAAAGCACGATGACAATAAGCGAAGTGTATTATAACACTGTTGACAGGACATGAAATTTTAGATTGCACTTTGCGTAAAAAAAGGTTTGTTGCATTGGAGACTATTCAACATGTTTGTTGTTATTTTTTTACATCCTTGGTCGATCTTTAGGTTCTATAAGTCAGAAGCGCTCAGAAACAATTTTCTTTCTCCATGCTCATGGCTTAAGATAGGAAATAAAAATAAACTTCGTGAATATATATGTACACATAAAATGAAAAATTAAAAATTAGAACCTTGAATTTCGTTTCGTTCAGAGATAAGTGTTGCAAAGGAAAACAGAAAAGCACAACAAGCTTCCCGATCTTCTTGTCCTCTAAGGATGTGCAATTTTCACGCCCTATGCAAACTCCAACAACTCGAAAAAAACAAGAAATAAGGGGAAAGGATAAAATAAAATGATGTTACGTCTCCGTTCGTTTGTTAATTTTCCGTAAATTCGTTCCGACGAAACTTTAGCGACACAAGTCCTTTCTTAAATAAAACTGGTTTATTCTTTTCGAATACAACGTTACGATACACTTAATTTCAACAGTCGCTCTATAACAACGCTATAACTCACGTCTCACGTGGCCAACAATATTTTGTCTGCATACATTCAATTACTCATTATCTTGTTCCGTCACGTTGTGAGCGTCTTATATATACCAGACTACCCCCAATCTAGTAGTCTCCCGATAATTCATGAAGGTTCGAGAAGGACGTGGTGTGATACTAGTCACGTGACCTCGCTGACGCAACAATGAGATAGAGAAAAGGTAAAAAATAGAAAACAAATGAACAGAAGCGTAAAAAGTAAAGTAAAATAGGAGATCACAGGATCCTATAACCGAGAAGAGGTTCGAAGGATCCAATACCACAGATGAAGTAGTTCAATCTTTTACATTACAGTGTTTACCAGGTAAAACTTCTGTATTTTTGTGTAAGGTATCTGTAATTACAAGGACTCTTCTTCATTTTCTTAGGAACTCTTCGTTGTTTGATCATATCTGAGTACTAATGAAAATCGTCTTTTTCATTTTTATTGTTACGGCAGCGGAAGTCACGTGACGCTGCTGGTGCTTTGGCGCTGGTAGCATGCGTGCTGAGTTTCTCGAATGATCATGGAAGCCCAGTCGTGTTCGAGATGCCCTCTTCGTTAGAATATAAAGCCTGGAAGAAAAGCCAGCATGGTTAATTAAGAGAGAGCAGTAGTTATTTTGAGTTCCGTGTAATTTATGATTCTATTAGTTTCGAGCGAGTGAGCCGTAAAGTGTGTGTTTTGCACTCCTCGAGAGCGAATTTATCGAGATTGTGAAACGCTGTGATTTATGGAGTGTATTATAAAAGTTGTTAAGTTTAAAGTGACGAGAAACGTAGTGATTGTGGAACTTCTGTGTACTAAAAGTATGTATCGAGGAAGAATAAATTGGTTTAATCAAGAAAGGATTCGTATCGCTGAAGATCCTCGGAAATAATTTCTACCGGAAACAAATAAACAAGTAGTACATAACTTTCTTATAATTATTATCTTGCTTGCTTCCAGGTGTATATTACTTTAGTGTGCATAAATTCATTTTAAATTTTAAAACACTGCCCAACCTAACAAGCGATACTGGCGAAAATAATTATACCGAAAGATGTGCAAGCTAGAAAGCGATGAAGGCCTAGAAAGTTCTAAGGCTGTGACTTCAAGTTTTTCTAGTATATTCGATGCTAGCTTATAAATATGAGGTATTTGTAAAATTGGGGATGTTTTTTGTTCTTTTCAAGCTATATGGTTGAATCAGTCAGTATATTATCGTGGAGTATTTGGATCTAAGTTTGCTATCGTGCTTGATGACTTATTTTGTACCAGTAAGTTGATTTAACCCTATCACCAAGGGCATTTTTTACTGCGCATGTCACGAGGTTTTAGTGACTTTCATTCAAAATTTTATTAATCTTCTTGTTTAGGTTACACCAATTAGTATAGCATACAACCTTAGTTAATAATCTATATTTTAATAGTTTATAAATTTTAAGTGCTTAATTATATAATGCAATATATAAAAAATCATGAATTTCCTCTAGTGTGAGAAATGTGACACATTTTCTCTAGACATCTCCTCTTCTCTATTTTATCCACCACCCCTCCAATAAGTACGAAGTTCAACATTAAATTACTCACTATAAAATCATTATTGATCATACAAATCATATTTTTATCGCCTTAAATTTTGTTTGGTTACAGAGCCGACAAATAGAAAATCAGACCCCTCTTGCCACACCTATTTGTCACATCCTCTCTTTCAGTATTTGTTAATAGCTCTCTCTTACGTTTAATTATCTATTATTTATAACCAACAGAAAGCCACGGTTCTTATCTATCAAATGACGTATTATATAACATTGTTTTCTAAGCAGAGAGTTGTCAATTTCGCTGTTAATACAAGATTCGTTCCCATGACAAGCTTGGATGATATTGTAACGTTTCTTGTAGCATAGTTTGTTTGTTTGTTTTGACTTTCACGCAAAACTACATGAAGACTATCTGTGCTAACAGTCCCTAATTTAGCGGTGAAAGATTAGAGGGAAGGCTGCTAGTCATAACTATCCACTGCCAACTCTTGGACTACTCATTTACCAATGAATAGTGGGATTGACCATAACATTATAACGCTTCCACGGCTGAAAGGGCGAGCATGTTTGGTGTGACGGGGATTCGAAACCGCGAGTCCAGCACCTAACCATCTGGCCATGCTGGGCCTGTCACATAATTAGAAAGCCAGAAAAATTATGATAGTTAGAAGAAATTGTTTACTTTGCACGTTATTATTATTCTATGTTCTTTGGTGCATTATTTAATTACATAAAAATTATTTAGTGCATTAATACTATTAGTATTAAAAAATAAGTGTAGTCGACAATCGACAGAAACAAAAGGAAGACTCTGGCAAGTACTGTATTTTTTGTTTTTCATGTTTATTCTTTATCTATTATTATAGAAGAAACTCAAATGTAAAAATATGGATCTCTTTGGGTTAGTTAAGGTTAGATTAGGTAAAATAAATAATAATAATATAATAATGTTTGACGAGTCACGCACGCGAGCAGCTCGTGAATAAAGTAATTCGATAGCATAAGGTGAGCTGCACTTCTCTGAGAGATTTACTACTTATAATGGCGAATAGTAGTAAACAGATTCAAAGGCCAATAACATTTAATTTATAATTAGATGTATACTGTTACGAGTTTGAAGCTACTTAGGATAAACGATTTTAGTTTCATGTTAGAATTTGAAGTCATTCTAGAAAGAAAAGAGTAATTTAGATATTTCTTTCTTTTTTTTTCTTTTTGGCGGTTACGAGGTTGTTCAATTTGACCAACCTTGTACAGAGTTAGGGAAGAGAAAATAACAGATTAAATATAAAATTTTAATGAAAATAAAAATTTAAAATGTATTTAGGACGTTTGAGGGGTTATGCAAATAATATTCGAAAATTTTCAGATGAAGAAAAATATTTTTATTCTTATCATGAAAATCACTTTGCACTTTGACTATTCAAAACAAATATTCTGTTACGACAGCGGAAGTTACGCGACGCTGGGAGCATGCGCACTGGACGCTGGAGTTTCTCGAAGGATCATGAATTATCGGGGAAGACCGAGTTTGTTCAGGACGCCATCTTTCTTTAGTATATAAGCCTAGCGAGAAAAACCAGCGGGATCGGGCATATAGATCATTGAGTCAAGCGAAGTAGGCACCGTAAGTACAGTGTGTGAATCACTGCGATTTATAGCGTGTGTTATAAAGGTTGTTAAGTTTAAAGTGACTGTGGAAATTCTGTGTGTTACAAAGTTTGTATCGAAAAAGAATACACTAGTTTTAATCAAGAAAGGACTTCTATCGCTGAAGTTCTTTGGAAATAATTTCTACCAGAAATAACAAACAAGCAGATACATAACAAATTGGTATCAGAGAGTGGGACAAAAAAAAGAAGAAGATGGAAACGAGAAATGGCAAATCAAACTACAGCTTAGCAGATTTGATGGCAGGAATACAAGAACAGCAAAAGCAAAGGAAGAACGAGAAAAGAAACAAGAAGAGAGATTACAGCAGTTGTTGGAGGAAAAAAAGGTAACAAGAAGAGAGATTACAGCAGTTGTTGAAGGAAAAAAAGAAAAAACAAGAGGAATGATAAAAGAAACAAGAAGAGAGGCAAGAAAATCAACACCAGTGGCAACTGGAACAAGAAAAGAAATAGGAAGAAAGTATCCAACAGTTGAGAGAAAACCAGCATACACAAATAGAAACTATTAGTAAATTTCAAAGCAAATTAAATACATTAAAGGACGATTTACTGTCTTTTACACAGGGAGGATATATTAACCATGGACCTAATCAGCCCCAGACAACAGGAAGCCCCTTCCAGAACCTGCAGCTAAACCTTAATGCAGACATCTTCAGTCCTG